AAATTGTGTTCACCTCTGACACCAGCTAGGACATGTACCTCACAGTACAATAGAAACTTGTTTTCATGCTATTTATTTTTATCTTCTGCTACTTTGTACATTAATTTCAAAACTTTTTTAGAAGAAAATAATGTATTTTTGTGCTATAGTTGCAAGTTGCTATGCAGATTCTGATTTACTATTTTAAAAAACATATGTAGTACCAATATAAATAAATAAATAAAATCATAAATGTATTGAACTTTATCAATCCAAAGTATTCTAGGAAGTAGCTCCATTTTGACCAGTTGCAATATTAAGATGCTGCTTACACACCATAATGCATTAGTATTAATATAATATGATAATATTAAATAATTTATCCAAAGAAGGAAGCCAAAGCTGTTGCCAATACTTTTATTTGACCATTCAAGAAGCCTTCATTTTTGTTGATAATGTTTTTTACTTTAGCAAAATGTCAATCATGACACTTTTGACTGAAATTATTTGTTTTTGTGAAAGTGTCGCAGCTGTTTCTTAGTCAAAGTAAGACTTCTCACAGTAAGGTTGAGGCTTGAACAGCTCTGTGATGTTGTACAGCAGAGGCTGAGACGTGGAGGCGAGAAGCATCGCGCTGCTGGACACTGAGTTTGAGGGACAGACAGTGAGTCAGAAGACATCAGAGCCGTTGACAGGCCCATCAATCATCACTTTAAAATAGCTGTGCAAGCAGGACGTCACGCGACTGATTAAAAGCAGCGGCAGTGAGAGGAAAATTTTCTTTTTGTCTTGCAGTGATGGATTTTATATTTATTTAGCATTTATAAGTGAGTGTTGAGCAGACTGTTATAAACTGGTGTCTAAAGCAACAACAGAGCCTGAAGGGAGACGGACTGGTTTGATATTAGCTTGTGAAACAGGTAACAGGCTAAATTTAGATTATTATTATGATATAGTCATGGAGAGTGTGTCAGCCGCAGGTATACTGTAATCATGACAGTTTGACAAGCTGAGCTCGTAAAGTGTCTGCTCGTGGAAGTAAGTTGCATGTTATACGTGTTACGCAACAATTTTAAGCGGGCTATAATACACATGTGATTCGTTTACTGCAGCGGTTTGATCCGTTTTGCGTTTACAAACAGCACTGAGTAATATCTGAACAATTAAACAACTTAGACTGAGTCATTATGTAAGATTACTTTCTTTATGATGACGAGCCACTCGAAAGTGACAACGGGCTCTAATCTCGTGATTCAAGCTTTAATGCTGCAGCTTTCTAATAAGTATACGTTAGGATTAGGCCTTTAAGTGTCTAAATGTTCCTTTACTGTAAATCCTTTACTGCTTCTACAGTGGAACAAAGTGAGTCCTGCCACTTTGTTCTAAACTAATTCACTTTAATTCTCCAAAAAAGTCATGAGTCCAGTGAAGTCCACGTGATTTGTAAAATGTAAAACAATAAAATCCTCATAGAAACGATGGCCTTAAACCTTCACACAGTCATTACAGTTTAACAGAAAAGGGCCGGCAATATGCAAAGACTTCAGATTATATGGATTTTTTAGCAATGGCGGAAAGTAACTGAGAGCTTTTATTCAAGAGCTGCTCTTAAGTAAAACAAATAATGTTGAGATGCTTGTATTTATTCGAGTATTTGTATTTTATGCTTCTTTATGCTTTAATTCCACGACATTATAGAGAGAAATATGGTGTGCTCTGTTTTTAGTCACTTTTTTAGTTGCATGATGAAAAAAAGTCCATCATCAGCCTAAATGCGGTAATTGAAAGTAACTAAGTATATTTATTATCCAAGTACTGCATTGAAGTACAATGCTGAGCTGCTTGTAAGTTACTTGAGTATTTCCATTTTGTGCTACTTTCTACTTCCTCTGCATTACATTTCAGAGGGAAATATGAAAATAAAACACACATTGTTGAACATTAAACCAGTGGTTACCAGCCTTTTACAGAAAGCAGTGTGTGGTCGCAGATGTCTCTGTTCACAGCTGCAACAGATAATCATTTTGCCTCTAACATTCCCACATGGTTGGATTTCAGTAAATGTTCAAATTACTGAATATCTGACCAAAGATGAGAGAAAAAGCTGGAAACAGATTTTGGAACTTTTCATCTTTCCTCTCCAATTAACCATCAGATCTGATTTATTAATTGCCCCCGTGTATAAAACTGAATATAAAGTAGTGCAGCTACAACAATGACAGACTGATGCTTCAGTGTAAATAATCTCATGATGCCATATATAAAATTCATCAGAAAACATGTGCCTTTACTTTGTGCTTTAACAACATTTTTCTGCTGGTGTGAACAATTTTATATAAGTGTGATTTATTTTTTTATGCAGGACTTTTATTTGCAATTGAGTATTTTTGCATTGCATGATGTAGTGTCTTCTTCCACCACTGTTCTGTTCTCAGGTGTCATTTCATTGCTGATGAGCCTAATAACCGCCACAGATGTAGATTTGTTTGTTCAGTGATTTGCACACACGTTACAATGCAGCTTTGTGTGCTGCACCACTCACTAACAGAGGCTGGTTGCTGCTCGCTCTTTAGCCTCCTCTGCTGCTGGCTGCACAGACTGCAGCTCTCACGTTCATCCAGGACACACACACGACATATGTTGTGTAACGTTCAACAAGGACTGTCTGTCTGCGCATAAATTAATAAAACGTCCTCCTCGGGGCTGAGCGTGGCTGCATTAAGTGCGTCCACTGAAACATTTGCTCGTTTAGAACCGAAACCGAACAGGTTGTGGTCGTTAAACCCTCTCTCTGCTGTTCCGGTAAACACCCTGGCTCCGTTAAAAATCACTTACTGGACCAATTATCAGCGGACACGTGACGCCCCGCTCCTGTAATTGATGAGAACGCTTCGCTCCGGCTTCGGCTTTTTTCGGTAAGCGTCCCCGAAATATGACACCCCGTTGCCATAGAAGCAAAACAACTGCAGTTACCCAAATATGGCCAAAGAGGAAGTGAAACGACACGACGACGGCTGCGGCGGCGTGCTGACGTCACGCACAGCACGCACTCACTGCGCCGCGGTAGAATTGGGTTCCCTTGACCGTGACAATAGTGGAGCACAGAACGAGCTATGAATTAATAATTAACCCGCTGTTTGCGCGGCTCCCACGCGTTTTAGACACGATTCAGCCCCCCAACGGCTGCACTTTATGTAATTCTGGAGCCAGAAATAGGCGCGCTGACATCTTTACAGACAGAGCCGAAAATATTATTCTCCAGGTTCACCCTGTTCCCTCCTATTGACTTTTTTTTAATGAGCTTTCTAAAGCCATCACATCACATAACCTACATCAGCAGATAGAACCAAACAGCTCACATTACGTTATAGGTGTTCACATTTACATTTGTTTTGAGCATTTCATATCCGTTTTGGTGTAAAAACAATATGTTCTTTCATGACCTTGCAGCAGTTGAGAAAATTGTCTCCTCATGTTCTCTTTAGTGACTCTTGTGTCTCATATGAACGTGTAGTTTGCATCTGCTGAGAAACACAGTGCAATGTACTAACAACAAAAAATTTCAATATGATTTGCAGTGTTACTCTCTCATGCGCTAAATAAGTTTCAGTATCTGCGGTCTGTTCTCATTATGTGCCTCATTGTGTATATCGCTGTTCGTAATACTTCTTACTGTCCTACTGTAGTTTTGTTTTAGCTTTCCTACTTTCATATTTACGAATGTGTCATACTTTTATCTTTTTTCGTTTCTATTAAGCACTGCATTTATACTCATGTTATTGTGTTTCATTGCAATATCTGGTGCCGGAATTTCTATCAGGGTGAGTAAAGTTTTATCTTGTGTTAGCTTAGCCTAGCTTAGCTTATGTTATCTTATGTAAGCTTAGATTAACTTATCCTGTCATAGCTTATCTTAGTTTATCTTATGCTACCTTATTTTGTCTTGTCACCTCATCTTATTTTACCTTATGTTAGTTTATCTTATTTTATCTTAGCTTATCCAATGTTAGCTTGTCTTATCATAGCTTATGTTAGCTTATCTCTTCTTATGTTATTGTGTCTTATCTTATTGTACCTTTTTTTTTTGCTTGTTATCGTAGTTTGTCTTTTCCTGTCTCATTGTAGCTTAGCTCATCTTATGTTAGCTTAGCTTGTCTCATTGTAGCTTAGCTCATTTTATGTTAGCTTAGCTTGTCTCATTATAGCTTAACTCATCTTATGTTACCTTACCTTGTCTCAGCTTAGCTCATCCTATGTTAGCTTAGCTTGTCTCATTGTAGCTAAGCTCATCCTATGTTAGCTTAGCTTGTCTTATTGTAGCTTAGCTCATCCTATGTTAGCTTAGCTTGTCTTATTGTAGCTTAGCTCATCTTATGCTAACTGCATATATCTCGCTTGAATGACAACAACTGCAACAAATGATTTGTGGTTGTCTTATTTTATTTCCAGCGTTATTTAACTTTTGCATTTTTGCATCATTTTTGATAAGTAAAAAAATAAACTATGTCATAAAATACATCTCGATAAAATACATGGCATGAGCTTGTTTTTTCATGGAAAAACTCAAAAGCAAATGTCAAGTCAGGTCAGGGGACACCTTACAGCAAGATGTGACACCTATACGCTACATATTAGTAACCCTCTATTGTTCACTTGTTACAACACAACTTGGTCAACAGCATTACATTACATTAACCTATTGAGCATGATCTAACTTTACATCACATGTAGATTTTTTTCTTTTAAAAAACACAAGATACCACCTCCGCTTGGATTACAGATGACTTGTAATTGCATGCATTTTTTGCTACCAGCACAAAGTCTCGTCTCAGACGGTTGTAGCAACAGTATGGAAGAATTCAACCCTGTTACAGTCACAGAAAACACATCGTCTACACAACCTTTGATGTTCAGGTTTACACAACATCAAAACTCACACTACAAAAGATTATTTGAGAGAGATCATAGCTTGCTGGCTGGTTAGAATACAAATACAGTATTGTTGCATAACTTCTTTGCATTCACAAGGCCAGAAGTGTTGGAGAGTTAAGACTATCTTTCATTAACTCAGATGCACCAAGGCTGCCTTTGAGGCTCTCGCAGCCTTCAGCCAAGGAATCAATCTCAGAGTAATTAAAGGAAAACACTGTGCGGTAATTGCTACAAGTGGGACTGGAAGACATGACTGGTGTGCTCAAAGATTCAAGGTCATTCGCCACAGACTTGTACAGCGTTTCCCAGTCTGAGAGGCAGAAAGGGCCACTCAGGTCTATGTCAGGGACAGATGCTGCCGTCTCTGACGTCACCGCCATCTCCAGGCTGGGCACCAAGTCATCCAGGTCATCTCCTTTCAAGTCCTCCAGCGCCTCCTCTTCTGCGCTGGAACACAGGAGGATGTTGGAGTTCCCCAAAATGGCTGCAGCAGGACTGCAAGGGACACTGTCCATGTCTTGACCAATAGAGGCCTCTCCGATCGGCGAGTTGCTGCTCTCTGGGGTTTTTCCATTCTCTAAGATGGACAGCAGCTGCGGGGAGGCCGGAGGATCCTGCAGCATTGTGTTAACATCGTCTTCATTATCCCCCTCCCTGTCATCATCATCATCATTTGCAGGGAGTTTGCAGGACGGTTTGTGGGAAGCTAAGACGTGCTCCAGTCTCTCCTTCTCCTTCAGCAGGTTTGCTATCTCCGTCTGGAGGGCAGACTTCTCTTCTTCTAGCGTATCAGTTTCCTGAGGCGAGGAGTGACAAAATCAGAAAAACCACTTGGCACGAGCAAAGCAGGAGAGCATGGCGAGCCTATGGTGCTCTGCAGACATCCCTGCCTCGCGATTGTGATCTTTAATGACATGCACGTCTTCAGCTGTGTCAGTGTTCTCTATAGGAATTCATTAAACCTCATACTTACAGCTTGAAGGGTGTCTATCAGCTCCTTCCGTCTGTTACGACACTTTGCTGCAGCAATTTTGTTCCTCTCCCTCCTGATCCTCCTCCTTTCCTCCTCCTCTTTGGAAGGCTAGAAATCAATCAGAAATAGCCAATTTAAACCCCGCTAAGTCTTGCCATATTGGCAGTTGGCTCTTCAACACCATTTCACTTGCCAAAGAAAGAGAAATAAATCATCTTTGCAGTGTATGCTGGGAATACTGATCTAGTCGGTGCAGACTCTCAGTTCAGGCGTTAAAATGCTGCACCACTGGCACGGTCTAGCCAGTCACGTGAACGCGCGTTTCATGCCATTGCCTTTCCCATTCATAAACAGCGCTGTGTTACTCCAACTGTAATTACTCGCTGCACCAATTAAACAGAATGGAATGGGTTACTCCCCGCAGATATGTATTTACACTTCCCTTCTCGCTGTCTTAATTGTATTTTAATGGTAAAACAGCTCATTGCGTCCTGGCTCGTGTCAAAATATCGCGATAGCTTAATTTCCACATTAACCTCTGTCGGTGGAGGAGGAGTTGGGCAAGATATTGAAGAGCAACACTGAGTGATTGCTTGATTAAGCGACTATCGACTGATTAAGCAGTGCCTGAAGCTGGAATTACAGCCCTCTACCCCCACCCTGTCCTCTCGCCTACCTGCTCCTTCTGTCCTTTCCTGCTGCAGCCTTTCGCCTTGTTCCTTGCACCCGACGGGGAAGACGACTGAGTCGCGGCGTGAGTTTTGCTCTTTGCACGGCCGGACGACGGAGAGACAGATGTGAGGACCGTCGGCTGCACCATCCACCTGAGCTCCGGCGATGTGGAGATTGCGGTCACAGTCGGAACAAAGGAGGCTGCTGCACCGGTCTCAGCATCCTGGAGAAACCCACATCAGAGAGACGTGCATATGCAAGCGGTCAAACACTAATTTAGCGTATCTGATGAATGAGCAGCTGTTATTGGCTGACCTTTAGCAGTGTTTAAATGCTACATCAATCATGTGGCTGAGGAATGACACGAAAACAGTGAATGAACACAGTGTACAAATCTATCAAAAATCATCTGCATGTCACGTCGTCACATCCTTATCACTCATTGTCATCATCATGATCAAAAATGAAAGGTCACGACGTCCAAGACTCCGCAAAGCACATCACAAACCACAGATTTGCAATCATTTTAGCGCTGTCTTTGCGGATTTTCCCCGCATACACTGTGCATATGCGGTTCTACAGAATCATGTTCAGCTCGGGACAGTGATCCTGTTAAGGAAAAAGGCTGTCTATGAAATTTACTTGAAAATGTGAGAGGAATTTGAGGAATGCTTCCTCTATTATGCATTAAATACATGCAAGATTCTGTGATATATATATTTTTTTCTTTTCTGGATGATCATGATCCGCTTGTACCTTGGCGCTGTCCACTGATGATGAAAGCAAGTCAGAAGGATGCTGGCTGCACCCAGGGGTGTCCCCGCCAGGCGATGCTGTGCTACAGCTGGACGAAGAGTCGAAGTCAGTGTTGGAGTCTGGATGCATGTTTTCATCTAAAAAATAGAATATAACAAAAAAATAAAATCACTGCATAAGAAGATAGGACCGTTTTTTCTATTCTAATTAAATAAAATAAAAACGGATTCCTGAACGCCTACTTATATTCCATTTGCCAGCCTCATAAATGGAAACTGTGCAGATATAGTGGAGAGGCCCGCCTTTTATAGTGAGCTGGAATTTTATGAATGAAATCTGTGTGGTGAGACTGAACCATTTCACAGAGGGAGACGTGGCAGGGGAGAATAAAGCGAGCAGATGTTTAACAATTTCACATTTGAATACCCGAAATGCCTGAACAGCAAATTGGAGCAAATATTTCATTTGAACTTATTTTACCCACTCAAATATCAAAATAAGAGCCAACATGTGTAATGTGACACCCCTGCTTGCACAAGGTGCCCGTCGCCATGAATGAACTACGTCATTTGATGTATGCAGCATCTGCATCATATACATTATGTTCCCGTTCTGCCTTCATATGTTCTCAACATGTACTTTTTTTTGTATTTGGCCCCTAAACTCCACAGACTGCATTAGAAGTGATGGTAATGCACCGCGGGCTGTTAATGAAGTGTTCTAACCTGCGAATTTGATGTTAGTGTTTGTTTTTATTATTTTCTGCCCCCCCTCTGAATATCCGATATGAGATCAATGCTGATGCAATAATACCTCAACTTTTATTTGGACCAGTGTTGTGGAATCCAGCCTCATTTCATTAGCTGCACACAGCTTCCAGCACACCGGTTGATTATTTATAAGCTGCTAAATGAAGTGCCATCCATATATCACACTGCCTTTCACCTGTCTCTGCATATGAATAGAGAGCTCCAGCAACAGAGCTGTCGACTGTAGTAAAGCAGCCAATCGGCGAATGGACCGCTCGAGCCATATATGGAGTTTCCGGAGAGCAGGGGGCGCGCTGTGGCGCACGGAGAGCGCGCAGACGGACGCTTGGCTGTGTGTGGCCCACTCACTCACAGTCACAAAAGAAAGTGAAACATGCGCTAAAAGGCTTCGTCCGTCATGTATTGTAGCCGGTAAGAGCGTCATTAACGGCCTCTGAATGCCAACAGAGGCGTTATTCAGGAGGAGGGCCGGCCTGCACTCGAGCCACCTTTTTTTCAGGCCTAAAAATAGCCTTTTATTCAGATCTGTTGCCTAAATCACGGGGTTATGAGAGAATTCAAGATATTTCAACTTTGTCTTCCTTAATGTGACCTATACTGAGTCACTTTGTTGCTGACTTTCCTGCAGCCATCGTTCACACAGCGCTTGTTTTTACGCACAGACTTGATGGAATTCATTAGCGCCGATTATGAAGTTGTCGCGGCAGCTTCTGTAAGAAAAGGGTTTGAATAGGCTGCTATATTTAGGCTTCAGATGACCTCACACGGCTTTGGATGGTGAACAGAGGGGGGCTCTCCCCGGCTCGGAGGGGCCGCGCTCCCCTCCCGGCTGCGCTTCCCGGCAGTCACGGCCCCCTCCGGCCTCATTTACCGGCACATCTCTATAGGTGGCCGGCTTGACCCTATTCACAGCGTCCGGCTCGCTCCATGCGAGATCTGAAGGGTTCAGAGGTCGGACATAACATCACACACCTTTCATCATCACAGCTCTGAGACCTGTTTTCATCAGAACAACTTGAGCGTGAATGTGCACGGAGCTATTTTTAGGTTCGGTGACATCAGCATCCAAAGTTCATTGAAATTAGGCCAGACAATAGATCACCGTTAATTTCTCTGTGCTGCTGTGAGTTGTCTCGCACCGCTGTGAGTGTGTGTTGACATGACATAAACACAAGCAGGTACTGAAAGTTTAACTAAATTAAAAGTTTGGATAATTATGTGCAAGTAGGTTAAGCTTCCTACTTTGCAGAAACACCAACTCCACGGATAAGGTGACGATTGGACCGTTTATAAAGTGCACTCCTCTGTGTTGATGCAAGCTAGTGGATTGGATATGTTTGTTTTTTGTGAATAATTTTACAGTCACCAATTAAATTATTATTAAGGACAAGTAGGTTGCACGTTTTTTTAGTCTGCTGTCAATTCAAAAGAGCTCAAAAATGATCAGGACCACAGGGTCAGTCTGGGTCATCACGGCTGATTGATCAGGAAGCTGCTGTTCCTGCCAACCAGTCAAACAGAGCAGTCAAACACGCCAAGGTAACCGACTTGTTTGGTGTCTAGTTTCAGACACCGCAGACAGAGAGCCGAGGACAGACAGAGCTCTCACTCCGCCGCCGTTTCCCGGAACCAGACCTCTCGCTGACGTAGTGACGTCTGGTATGCGGGTCCTCCTCGCGCGCAGCGGTTTCTGTTTACGCCGCCGGAGTGGTTGCTCCTAACAACGTAAACGATCTTCGTTGCCATGCAGGGTGAGGACGTCACTGCCGCGAAGGGGCTGGGCGTTGCTATGACAACTAGGAATGTTCAACAAAACACGAGCGCGGGAAACAAAGCCCAAGTCCTTTAACCTGGATTAATGCACTTTGACACAATAACACCATTATTAACGCTTTAAGTCTCTATCAACCGCATGTGAACGCTTTTAATTCCCGTTTTATTTCGTCAGCAGCACAGCCTGCACACTGTGTTCTTTTTAGGGGACTGCTAAAAGCAAAGAGAGACAGTCAAAGGCTACTCACAATGCAAAGAAAAAGAAGAAAATTTGAGTACTGTGAATGTATGAATTTGCTATTATGAACAGGAATGCTGCTCTGGTGTCTCAGTTCCCACTAAAACTGGCAGCAAAATGTTGCTGACACAAGGAAAACTGCAATCACTGTGCTAGCAATTTCCCTGAGGTCTTGTACCGAAGGGATCAATAAAGTTTCATTCTATTCTCATTCTAATTCTATTCTAGTTATACTCCTCCGTTTCCATAAACTGCTAGTTAAGAGGAGAAAAAAAGTGCTGAATACTCCTGATTAGCATGTTCATGTGTGTATAAATGTACCCTAACTCGGTAGAAAGTCTCAGTGTCAAAGCTGCATATCAGGGATTCAGTTTGACTCACTGAGGCTTCGAGGATTCCCTTTAACACAATTAGGGGTAGACCTTTATGAACGTGCTCTTGCTGTCGTGGAAAAATACACACAACAAACCGGTTATCAGCTCGCTCTGCAGCCAAACACACCCCCGCCCGGGCCACACACAAAAGGTACAAGCACCGCCTGAGGGTGTCAAACAGACGCAACCACTTTCGTTCTGACATGTACTCTTAGTGCTGCTGAAGTATGTTTACGAGGTGTTCTGGATTGCGCGTTCTGCACATTCCATTGTTCCTTGCCCGTTGAACTGATTGATTTGCACCTCAGATAAACTAACAAGACAGTCTTTGAATAACAGCAGCAGAGGTTCATACAGTGTTCGGCACATTTAGTACATGCATATCTTTTGTGTTATTCTACTCTATCATTGTTTGCACACTATTTGTTGGTACAACTGCAATATAAGTCACCCCAATATGCTGCATTTTATGGCATTTAGTGTAGAAGCAATAAGTCAATTAAACATTAGAAGAGAAAATGACTTCTAACAATGATAACACAAGATTATCTGAAAGTAGAGCTTGTTTAGGTGTAAATGTAGTTTGGTTTTAATGTGTTACACCTCAGCAAAAACTCTGTAGGAGCACAATAATAGTGCATTATGTGTAATTGAAGTAAACAGAGGGCTATAAAATTAGAAATATATATAATTTCTGTGTTCTGATGACTTAAGATTGCTGATATAAACAAATAAATGAGTGATCTATGTAAAAGGGCTGATAAAATAGACCTGAGGTGGGTGTTTTAATACGTTGGTTCGATACATGGAGCTCAGGATTCATGTTTAATTTTATCTTCTATGTGCTTCGGTGAGTAGGTTGCACTTTTGCTGACCATTATCCCAGTTCTTGGGTTTTCACAACAGCCCCTGTGTTTGTTGTTTTTACATAACGTCATGTCACTGTCGAGCCAATCTCAGATGTTGTATTTCCCAGCAGGTCCGCCCTTTTACAGGATGCACCATATTTGGGAAATGACGTAGCGGGGATCCCGTTTCTGGAATATTCCATTTCTTGAGGGTGAGTTTAGAACAACATTTTAAACCGTTCCTTTTCGTTGTTAATCGGTGAAATCGGACCCTTTTAAACTGGGTTGTAGGTGTATTTGAAGGAAGCGCCGGCACTTGCGGGTTTATCGGCGCGTTGTTAAGCCGCTGTTTTGGTTGTTTTGGGCTCGCGGGGCGGTGCACTCCCCTCTGAGACGTCATCAGCTGGCCGCGCGGCTATAAAAGGGCTCCGAGCTGACAGAGTTGGCAGTTTAATTTTCAGTAGCAGAGCAAGGACGAGAGGGAAACCGATCCGGAGCAGCGATTTAAGAGTTTACCACAAGCCTACTTAAAGGGATTTCCTCATCTCAACTTGACATCCCCCCTCAGTAGAGTTTGTCTGGATCTTTCTGCTTGATTTTTACTATTTTTCTGGAAACGATGATGTTCACTACTTTCAACGCGGAGTGCGACTCTTCCTCCCGCTGCAGCACCGCTTCCCCGTCTGCGGACAATCTGGGATACTATCCGTCCCCAGCGGGATCTTACTCCAGCATGGGATCTCCCCAATCTCAGGTATGTCCCCTTAAATGTTAATGGAGCTTCAGCTTAGCTTTGGATAGCCTCTTTTTTACTTTTTCTGTGTGTCTTGCATGAAGAACTTCGTGAGATGCTTTTCACGTGCATTAAATCAACGCTTAAACATAAACTTTGGTGAGAAATAAAACACCGACACATAGGAATAGCCCGTGTGAAGCTGTGATTGAAATATCCCGTTGACCTGCATTGCACACACTGCAAGGCAATCTTCATTCATCCACCTGGAAACTCCATAGAGAGAGTGTAACGTCATAGTTGACATCATGAGGATATTTTTAAACCATCCAGCTTTTTATAAACCCTCCGCTTTGCAGCCCCCATCCTGAAAGTGTCCTGACAAATCCTTTTTCTTCATTTCCTCCAGGATTTCACTGACCTGACAGCATCAAGTGCCTCCTTCATCCCCACCGTCACAGCCATCTCGACTAGCCCGGACCTGCAGTGGATGGTCCAGCCTTTGATCTCCTCGGTGGCCCCTTCTCACAGAGCTCACCCCTACAGCTCCAGCCCCAGCCCAGCCTACTCCAGACCAGCCATGAAGTCTGCAGCATCCAAGGCTAGCGGCTCCTCCAAGAGAGGCAGAGCTGAACAGGTAATTACAATCTGCTCATGTATCTCCAAGTGTTACATAACTGGGAGCACATTCCTATTTTATGCTATATTACAGAGCTGGAGTCTTAACTTTTTTCTTCTTCTATGTGCAGATATCACCTGAGGAGGAAGAGAAGAGGAGAATTCGCAGGGAGAGAAATAAGCAGGCAGCAGCGAAATGCCGCAACAGGAGGCGAGAGCTTACCGACACTCTGCAAGCTGTAAGTATCCCACCAGATTTACCATCATTCATCAGAATGTATTTACTGCCAGAGCTAATAGCAGTGTTATCCAACAGCCAACTTAATGCCACTTCCTCTCTCTCTCTCGGCTTGCAGGAAACCGATCAGCTGGAGGATGAGAAGTCCAGCCTGCAGAACGATATTGCCAATCTGCTGAAGGAGAAGGAGAGGCTCGAGTTCATTCTGGCTGCCCACCAGCCAATCTGCAAAATCCCGTCAGAGCTGGACACGGACTTCCCCGTGGCCTCCATCTCTCCCGCCCACCCTTGCCTCTCCTCCACCGCTGTGTCCTCCCAACCACAGACTACCATCACCTCCAGCCAGCCAACCTTCACCTCACCCTCCAACTCCATCTTCTCCAGCTCCAGCCCCGTCCTCTCCACCGCCACCATCTCCGGCAGCGCGGTCAAGATGACCGACCTGGAGGCCTCCGTCCTGGAGGAGTCTCTGGATCTGCTGGCGAAGACGGAGATGGAGACGGCGAGGTCGGTGCCCGAGGTTGACCTGTCCAACTCCCTCTACGCCAGTCAGGACTGGGAGCCCCTTCACGCCACAGCCAATAGCAGTGACTTCGAGCCCCTGTGCACACCAGTCGTGACCTGCACCCCAGCCGGCACCACCTACACGTCCTCATTTGTGTTTACCTTCCCCGAGGCAGAGACCTTCCCCACCTGTGGCGTGGCCCACAGGAGAGGAAGCAGCAGCAACGACCAGTCCTCCGACTCCCTCAGCTCACCCACCCTGCTGGCCCTCTAAAGACTCTTCCACAAACGTGAACTTCTTCCTACCGAGCACATTTTCTTGATGTAAAAGATAGATGTGCAGATCACAGGGCTATGGAATGGACTTGTACCAGGAAGCAAACTATTTATCATTTTATCTGCCTTCATCTGTACTTGCCTATATTACACCAATGTAGCAAGTTTAAAAAAACAACAAAAAAGAAGCATGTTTCAACTAATACCACCTAGTCGTTTTATGAGTTCCTATATGATTTGATGGTGCTAGATAACAAAATTTGTTGTATATTGATGTGTGTTCAGAGCAATAGTTATTATTTATCCAGTTTGTTTTCTGGTTAATGGAATGTGAGAGTAATTGTGAAACTGTTTGTGAAAAAAAAAAACTGACGTGCTTTGTCTTTAACCATGGTCTGAGTGGTCTATACCCCAGTATAAAGTTTTCTGTGAAAACATTAGTGGTTTTAATTTATGAAATTTATTTTTTTACAGAGAGAGAGTAAAGACAAATGTTGTTTGTAAGATATGTAAATAAAGGATAGTGATATTTAAATTCAGTCAATTGTCTGGTTGCATTTGTGCTCGACTCTTCAGCACATCCACACACATTTCCATATATTTTTCTCACTCTCAGCAGTCAGATGGAGACGCAGCTGCAGTGGAAGCACAGACTGTCTCAAAAGACAATTAAAATAATGTCTAAAATTAGCCTGTATAAGGGATAGCAGTATTTTTCCTGCACCTCCACTAGCTCTATTTATTGTTCCGTCTGTTGCCAAGGTTAACTATACGTCAGGGCGCTTACGTCAGTGCGTTCTTTCCATTTTTTTCAATTTGCAAGCCGTGCGCGATGACGTTTGACTTCCGTGCCCAAATATAGAAATCTACGCTGAGAGAGGCAGCAGAAAGTCGAACAGGCTGCTCGATCAGACACCTTTTTCCTGCTAAAACACGAACGTCTCCCTTCAGTGGACGTCGGGTTTGAGTCTTGACGTGTGTGTTGGATAGAGGGAAACCTGCTGCGCTGCTTCGAAGCGATCTAATTTTCACATCTCGTTTGCACGACGACAGCCGCATAGTTACACAAGAGAAATGGCACGAAGATCCGAAAGCAGCGTCTCTGCCTCGGCTGGTTAATTTATTCTGTTCCCTCGGAAGATCTGAATTCGCCCAAATATCACCTCCCACAGACGCATCTGAGTTAGCTACAGCACAATGCAAGAGAAAAAAAAAAACGGTAATCAGAAATAATTCATAAAGGCACAGCCAGACAGCAGTTTCAACTTAGTGCAAATGGACCTGGGCTTGCAGACAAGTGGACATGAGGTGTAAAGTGGCTGTCTGCAAAGTGGTATTTTTATTCAGCCTGTTCCAACTCTCCAAATGCACCTTCTGGAACATCAGGGCCAAAATTAACAGATGCCAACACTGCATCACAATGTGCTGTTAGACGAAAAGGGCGCGTAAATACCTGCTTGTGAAGGTGGTGATCTAGAATTGTAATTTGCACATCATGCAGATGATCTTGGTCCATTCTGAAGGCCTGCATGGAAACATCTGGTGACATATGGTGGACGTTGGCGCTGCAACAAGTAATCGAATAATCAATTAGTTGTCAAATAATAACTACTATGAGTCATTTTTCAAGAAAAAAAATCTAAATTCTCTGTTTCCAGCTTTTTAATGAGATTCCTTCAGTTTCTTATCTCCTCTGTGACATTTAACTGAATATATTTGGACAAAACAAGACTTCTGAGAAGTCATCCTGGGCTTTGGGAAACACTGATCGATATTTTTTACCTCTTTCTTGAACTTTATAGTCGAACCAACTTATCGATTAATCCAGAAAATATTCGACCGTTTAACCGACAATGAAGATCATCATTGGTTGTAGCCCTAATAGACAAACTGGAGGTTTTCTCGTGTCTTCGTTATCCCAAAGACTGGTCTGTGAATTCGTTAAATTACGAACACTGTGGAAGGTGATTATGGTATTAATCTGGGTGGATGATTATCTGTGACTTTCCTACTTGGTTTTATAAAGCTAATAGAATTTTTCCATTGTTTTTTAAATTTTTTTTTATCCCCATTAGTGGTTTTTGTAAAGAAATTTCTTGTGCAACATCTTATTATTTCACCATTTGTCATCAAACCTTACCCATCCTTCCCTTTGTACTTGTCATTATTTCACCTGACTTGCCCATTTCACCTTTTATGAATATTTCATCATGTACAGCATCATCGGAGGGCAGGTTGCTTAATGGCTTTACAGAGGAAATGAGCCGGGCGTGCGTGAAGGACTTGCCTGGTGGAAGACTACCGTCGGCCAATAGTTAACTAAACTCTGACGTTTGAGCCCTTCCAGTGTGGTCACACCCTTTTTGTGCAACAGGACACAAGTTGATACTCTGCTTCCTGCTTGAGCGGCTCCACCAGAGCACCACTGAAACAAATGAAAACACACGAAAGAACTGAAGTTGCAGAGCCTTTAGCTTGTTCTTTGCAGAACACTTTAAACGCTTGCAGAGCCTCTTGTTTTGTCCGCACAATGCTGTTGCATAACAGCTGAATTCTGGATATCTGTTTTCCTTTGCACTTAAGCAGAACCCTCTTTTTTTTTGTCCCTCAACATTGCTTCTATGTGCGACCATGCAGCGCCTAATAACGCTGTCTAATAATACCTCTGTGTAGGGCCCAGGGAGATGGGGTAGCAGCAGAAATAGCAGGTGCCTATTGCTTCTTTTAACATCAGCATCAACAGCAGTAAAATTAGACCACTATGACGCCAACCTGCGTCGGTGCTGCAACCCAGGGGAGGAACCAGGCAGCGTACGCCTGATAGAAAGACAGGAGGGAAAGTGAGAGCAAGGCAAGGCAGGAGGAGGAGGAGGAAGGGAGAAAATGATGAGTATAAAAGGATGGTAGGGAGGGAGACAGACAAGAGATCCCTGCCTCGGTGTAATTGTGAGCACAGTGATGATGAAACAGCCGAGTTCGCCTACGTGCCACGACGACAAGAGCTCCGTTTGGCTCGGCTCCATATTCACAGAAACCCGTCCCCTGATACCTTCTTTTGCTGAAAGCTTTGAGCAACCATAAATGCATCCCTCCTTCCGCTGTGGCCGAGGGTCTGCCTGAGCGACAAAGTGATACCGTTGTGCATTTACTCTGGCACCAAATTAGACTTTCACCGAAGCAAATGACAAAGCGCAGTCAGTTTTACACCCGCGTCTGACGTATCCTCGCCTTTGTTTTACTGTCATGAGTGTTGACAGAATGAATCCGTTTTTACAATGCAGATAATCCCCAATATCAAGTTTCTATGACACATTTTGGCGTGTTAATCGATGGCAGTGTGTGACAAATCAAATTTAAGTCTGAAGTCAGTGTGGATTATGTGCTGTTATTTGCATATGTCTGCTCTGTGTTTGTATTTTCACTATCTGGGAGTGATAACAAGCATAACTCACAGAATGACAGCAGTTAGTTGAAGGGTGTGTAGACACTTGCGTCAGCGGCATGTTCTTTTAAGGAAGTGTTCGATTCTGCAACGTAGGGCTGACATGCAATTCTGAAGCTGAGCCCAGAGGTGATAAAAAGGTTAGTAAATCAATGCTAAGATTACCGAAGAACTTTCCAAGTGGATTAAAGGCTACCTCCTTGAAACGTTTTATTCGTCATAAATACGTCCCTACATGTACTTTAGGATTCAAATTCACGTGATTTTAACGACCAATTGTGACGTTCACATTTAAGACTGGTTAGCAAATGTGATTATTGAGGTAAATGATGAACAGAGAGTTCAGTGAGTTTCATTTCTGGCCTAAAAGCCCAGCAGCACGGAGGAGCGAGTGACATGCTATTCTTGGAGGTTATTTGACGCACTAAGCTACAATACTGGAGGGATTTCTCTGTCCAATAATTACTGTTCACCTAGCGCCAGACTCCCCACTCGGCAGCGTGTCCTCGTCTCGTCTCATGGGATCAGTAACAAGGATGTTTCCCTGGAAACTGGACAGCTCTATCATATATAATTGGGTAATCCCTGAGCTGCTGACAGAAAAATAATAGCTTCTGGGATTTTCAAAATACCCCAGCCAACACTGGGCATGATATGTCTGTTTTGTAATCCGGATTTACCAATGGATTATTATGCAATTACCGCAATGTTAAAAACATTTTCCATTAGAATATTTAGATCAATAAGCTAATTGGGAACATTCAAAAGACTGGCAGTCGCTAGCTTCCATCTAAGGTTGATGTTTATTTAGTGAAAATAGGTGAAACATCTCTTGTAGGTCTCACTACAGTGTTCTCTCTGTAGGATGTTGATGTGGAAGTGAATGTGAAGCACTTTTTCTTAATTTTTAAAAACTCTTTTACATTTTATTTTTGTGCCTTCGTAAATGTTTCTATGTGTCTGCCGGCACCAGAAGGGCTGCTAAGTACGTTTGTGGGAGCGAAATGTCTGTCTCGCTTACATATGAGGTGTCTTGTTTAATGAGATTTATAAATCTAAAAAATAAAAATAAACAATTATATCAGCAACCAGCAACAGACCACAAAACCACATAACACAAGGTCTGTGCATTTTCCAACTCCTTCCTTCCCCTCCACTCATCCTTTAGACCTCCACCATGGTGTTGCCTTTAGAAGTGTATTTATGCTTAATTTATGCCCCCCTAAAAAAAAAACTCGTGACATGTAAAGCTACTCTTGCATATCACTCCTAAATGACTCAGTAGTATTTACACACAGTCACCTAATTTAAGGGATTAAGGATACATTTTGAAATTAACATTAGTCACAGAAAAGGTCAAGATTGTGCAATCAGCGCTTGCTCACAGACTATTGGGTGAGGCATCTACGTAGGGAAAATGTGGGGACGTCAGTCGAAAAATAAGCAAGAAATATACATAAGCACTGTTGATATTGTACAGATTTCTCTACTCTGGATATTGCACAAATTCTCCTGAATGTGGAAAGTAACCATCTTGCGCAGGATTATTCTGTATGTTAAAAACAACAAAATTCAGATATTGCACAGATTCTTCTGTGAGTAGAAAATGTTGATATCGCACACAGTCTTCAATAAAAATTATATTTGCACAAGTTTGAATACACTGATGTTACACCAGAGAGAATTATGTCAGCTTAGTTTCTATTTGGAAATCGAGTGGCCTGTAGTGTCTTTTTTATTCAAACAGCTGATTTGCAGGACATAGTGTCAGAGTCTGCCACCAAAATAAAATGACCGTTATTTGTCGAGGGGGAGTCTGTAAGTGTTACTGGTCCTACACAGGCTAAATGTACGAATATACTGAAGATTAGGAAAGTATGGTGTTTCGTTTGAGATTATCTTATTTTTTTAATGAAAAAAAA